AAAAGAAGATACTTGGGTTTCATAACCCTAAACCCTAAACCCTAAACCCTAAACCCTAAACCCTAAACCCTAAACCCTAAACCCTAAACCCTAAACCCTAAACCCTAAACCCTAACCCTCAACCCTGAATCTATGGCTTAGGGATGTCCCATGCCCCAACCATAGCCGGTCGACTCCGTCGCCGATGAGTATGCCGGATCTCCGGCAAGGCGGGGGAACCTTCGCATTTTGGGTTAGGGTTTAGGGTTTAGGGTTTAGGGTTTAGGGTTTAGGGTTTAGGGTTTAGGGTTTAGGGTTTAGGGTTTAGGGTTTAGGGTTTAGGGTTTAGGGTTTAGGGGTTAGGGTTAGGGTTTAGGGTTTAGGGGTTTAGGGTTTAGGGTTTAGGTTTTAGGGTTTAGGTTACTCTAACCCCCCCCCCCTCCTCTTCTAGGCTTGGGTAATTTTCTTCATACCCCCTAACCAACGAACCCTAAACCCGAAACCTAATTAACCGAAACCCGAAACCCGAAACCCGAAACCCAAACCCGAAACCCCCTAAACCCTAAAAACCCTAAACCCTAAACCCTAAACCTAACCTAAACCCTCAACCTAAACCCTAAACCCTAAACACTAAACCCTAAACCCTAAACCCTAAACCCTAAACCCTAAACCCTAAACCCTAAACCCTAAACCCTAAACCCTAAACCCTAAACCCTAAACCCTAAACCCTAAACCCTAAACCCAAAGCCCTGCCTGGCCAGGAGGATCCTTGCCATCAGGGCGTCCACGTCACAGCTCAAGTGCTCGCCGACCAGATCCGCGCACACCCACCTAGGCGGGTTTAGGGTTTAGGGTTTAGGGTTTAGGGTTTAGGGTTTGGGGTTTGGGGTTTGGGGTTTGGGGTTTGGGGTTTGGGGTTTGGGGTTTGGGGTTTGGGGTTTGGGGTTATGAATCGGGTAAGCAACCCTATGCCAGCAGGCAAAGCAAAGCAAGGGAGTGGGCGCACTCCTTTCAGCGCACTAAGCGAAAACATCGATGCTTTGAGATCGGCGGCGAAACAGCTTGACTGACGCATGCCGTGATTGAATGCATGTCTGTTGCTGCACAAAGACATGCAGCTGATATGGAATGGACATGACTGCTGCACGTCACATCCAAGGAAAAGAAAAAGAGCGGCTCTTACATGGCCATTCTTGCCTTGCGTCTTTCCCGCTGAGCTCGTCGCAAGCCGGCTCGCCTCCTCTCCTCAGCTTGATCTTCACGCGTTTCCTTGATGTTCAGCTGAGGCTTTTCACGAAACTTCCGGAACAGCTCCTCCTGCATGCTTTTCATGAGGGAGTCTGCAAATTGCCGCCATGTTGGAACCCAGTGCAAGGACAGCTGGCCACCCTGAACAAGTTGCTTGACGCTCAGGATATCCAATGCCGTCTGGCGTTCCGAGGCCAGAAGGGAAGAACCATGCAGGTGGTCGTACAGGGACTTGGCGTCTGTGACCAAGTGACCCTGAGTCAAAAGGAGGTCACGCCATTCTTTCGCCACCTCCAGCTGGCCATACCACATGGCGTCCACCAGCTTTAGAAGGTACATCAACTTGTCTGCGGTCCCGGACATGCTGCAGCACTCCGCAGCCATGCTCGACTTCATCACCCGAGCGATCTTGTTAGAGTGGAACTCCAGGATCGCTGCGGCCTGCGGCTTTGTGATCACCTCTCTGTTGGCGAGGAAGTGAACTTCCCCTCTCTGAGCCGTAGAACTCGCCACTTTGCCCAGCGACGCGTCAAAGTAAGAGACCAACACAGGCTTCTCACCAACGGGGGGAATGAACAGCTTGGCCTGTCCTTCAGAGGCAGCCTTCCAGAAACGGCCAAGCAACTCCACGCCATCCAGCAAGTCTTGACCAGTGGCACAAGCAACTCTCTGAGCGAGGCGGCTCACATCAAAGAGAAATTCCGGAAGAACATGATGAGCAGGCCATCTCAGCTGAGCCACCAGTCGACGATAAGCTTTCAAATGCTCACCCCGTAGCAACTCTTGCTTCGGCACCTCGGCGAGCTCGGGGACATTGATGGACTGCACATACGCCGTCATGTCGCTGACGAAAAGGCCACGGACAATCGAGATCTTCAAGCCCAGGAAGTCCAAGGGGGTCTCGCCGACGAGGTTCCAACATTTAATCTGAAATCTCGCATTGATCGCGTCTTTGATTTGGTCCATGTGCCGCTGACAAGCTGCAAGGAGCCCATCATCAACGTGAAGACACAGAACTGCTCTGACCTCGTAGCTCTTAGCTGTCTGAATACGAAGAACGAAGGTACATGGAGCAAATGCCACTTCTTCGAATCCACACTCGACGAGGGACTCCTTTGCCTTCTCGTACCACAGTCTCGGCGCCTCAGCCAAGCCATAAGCGCTCCGGAGGATCAGCCACAGTTCATCTGCCGCCGTGCACTTTAAGTCACGAGGAGGTCTGACGTAAAGTTCACGGCCTACCTCCTTCCCGGAGAGGAAAGCAGTCGTCACGTCAAACAAATAGCATAGCCACCCCTTGCTGACACACAAGCACATTGCCAAACGAACTGCAGCCTCCTGAGTGGTCGGGCTGTCCGTGCGAATGGAGCCTGCCGGATCAGGATCAAGATGTCCAGGCAAGACGATCCTGCTCTTTGGCTTCCAGTTCTTCGGGTCCCCTTTGCTCACACGGACTATGCGAGCGGGCACTCGAAAGATGCGGTGCTGTGGAACTCGACGGGCTTCAGCTTGGCTCAGCCTTTTCACAACTCCATTTCGTTCCCACGCCGACCACTCCAAGGCATCTGCTTCATCAAACGCCTTCTTCTCCTTTTCATCAAAGAAGCGAGGGTCCAGCTCTTTTCCACTGGCCTTCAACTTCAGCAACAGAGCTTCTTTCACAAGAACGTCACGCTCCACCGCCTGGTCCGCCGCCGCGAAGACCTCAAAGGGAACAGGCTTGGTCTCATACACCACGCCTTCTTTGACCACATACACCGGCTCGTGAGGACTGCCAGTCTTGAAGCGAGGGGGCCCTTTCTTCACACCACTTTTCATGAAAAAACTCACCCCGCGCCAGAGATGAGGAACTCTGCGCCGAGGATGCTGCCTCACCTCGTCGGGCGACTCTTTCGCCACCATCACACTGGAGATGTCCTCTCCAAACATCACAGTCATTCTGGCTTTCCCCGCCTTTCTTGCGAGGCCGCCTGGAGGTTGCAATCTCTTCCTGGGCCTTCGATGCAATCTTGCCGAGGACAAAGGAACCCCCAGCAACTTGCTCAAACGACGAACTTCAGGCCTTGGCAACCACTCATTGGCAGCCATCTCCTTTCCAGACAGCTGTTCCTCACATAGAGCAGCCAGCACATAGTTGCCGCCTTCAGCCTCCTTGAAGCGTTTTGCAGCCTGGTCTTCAAGGCTTTCTTCCGGAGGCCTCTTTCGGAATTGCTTCGGGAGGTCATCCAGCAAATCCGCTCGCCTTCTAGCTCTTTCTTCATCAGCTTGCTCACGAGAAACTGTAGAGTCAGGCATGGGCGACACCGGCACATACTCAGGGGAGGGCTCGTAATCCCGCAAGTCCACATCGTCCTCCTGAAACTCAGGGTGTTCAACAGGAGGTACATGAAGACCTTCAGGCAGCTGATCACCAGAACGTTCAGGAGCACTTTCAGGTAGACGCTCTGCCTCACGCCGAGATACACCAGGAGGCCGTAGGGGGCGACGTCGTGCTCTAGGGCGATTCAGGGGCAGTTTGAGCATTCGCTTCACACTCTTCAGGTTCTTCATCATGTGCCGCGCCTCTGTCATTCGGCGGCCCAGGCCATTTCGGCGCCTTGGGACCCGGAGCTGACCCCCGGACTCAGGCACAAATGAAGCTGGAGGTAGGTCATCCGAGAGGTCCACAAAACCCCGTTCCGCATGGACTTCTGCTTCTCTCAGGCGAAGTTCATTATCATCAGCTGCTTCCAGTGAGGCCGGCTTCAGATTGGCCCCAGCGACCAACAAGCACCGACCCCGCCAACTGATAAAATACTTCTGGGCGCCATCAGGAACCAGGACGACTGCCGGCCCACGCCAAGCGCCAGCCTGTTTCTTATAGCGAACTCGCTTGGGATCCACGGGAGACCAGAAGAAAATCATCTCTCCTGGGTAGAACTGACGAACCTCACCTCCGGGAGCGCGTCGGAGGGCAGCGCGAAGCTTTTCGTGGATATCGCCACGAAGCAGGGCGATTTTAGCTGCAGCCCTCATCTCCGTCTGGCGCGCAACCTCACCTTCAATTGACAAAGCAAAACCAGCCGATGCACTCTGCCAGATCTCCTCGTCAAGAAGCTCCGGGAAGTAAGCCTGGCGACCGAACACCAGCTGATGAGCACTGTGACCTCTCCTTGAGACTGTAGCGTTCTTCGCTTGGAGCGCGACCGCGAGAGCGATCTTCATTCCATGTCTTCCGACCACCTGCTCGCCTTCAATCGCCGCTTGCCAAGCTGTACCGAGGAGGCCATTGTGTCGTTCCACTAGGCCGTTCTGCCAAGGCGCATAGGAGCCCGAGATCTTAGAAGCAATGCCATAAGACTCCAGCACGGCAATGACCTCCGTCTCAAATTCCCCCCCCTGGTCTGACACAATAGTCACAGGTGCACCGTACGTGGCAATCCACCCTGCAACCAGCTTTCGCGCCACATGTTGCGGGTCCCGAGTGCGAAGCAACTTTGCTGCATGATAGCACGTCGCTGCATCCACCATGCTGAGTGCCACAAAGGTGCTTCCATGAAAATCCTTCTGGTACTTGAGATCCATGTGCATCTCCACGTTGAAGGCCACCGGTCTTGAGCCAGGACGAGTCGGCAGCGGTCGAGGAGGGGCCTTGCGCATTTGGCACACAGGGCATTGCAAAGTTCGAGCTTGCTCAATCACTTCCGCCCCAGCGCCGCCCATCTGTAGCATGCGGACCATGGTTTCCGCACTCGGATGCCCAAGACGACGGTGCACCAGATGCAAACGCTCCGCTAGCGAACCCTTCTCCAGCTTCGGCTTCGAGATCTCCATCGAGGAACCACCAGCACCACCCTCATCTCGCGCCACTGAACCTCCATGCGCCAGAACATCACGTAGTGCCTCCGTAGTGCCTCCATCTGACGCTCGTCCAGTTCGCCTTGATCATCATACAAGTCACTAGGCCTGACTCCGCCACACACGCCAGGGGGATCTCGATGATGCTGTTCTGGCGGTAACGAAGAATCAGGGGGATCAAGCTGACCCGGCACTGGAGATTCGTGAAGGATATCCTCATCATTTTCCATGAAGCTTTCCTCCGGAACCAATGTCTGCGCAACAAAGCGCACCGGACAGCCATGCCTCTCCTTGGCTCGCAGCGCTTCCTCAGCGCCTTTGACCACCGCCTCTGCAAACTGTCGCGTGTATCCACCAGCATACTCGGACATCTTGACCCATCGACCTCCACAGCGCACACCTTCCAAACAAGGAGAATGTCGATGGGTGCGCGGGCAGAGGCGCACAGCGTGCCGCAGAATGGCCTCATCTGCAGCGAGGATGGTCGGCTTCTTCATGTAGAGTCGCTGGCGCCGGCCCTGCCCAAACTCATCCGCAGGGCGGCGCAGCCCAAACGCACAGAGGTGCGTCTCGGCTTTGGGCAGCCCTTCAAAGGCTGCAGCAATGGACATTTCCTTCCAGGCAGCGCTCGTTCTGGGGTTCTCGCCCATGGTCACTCCGCCTTTGGCACGGTGGTCCTGCACGATCTCACAGACAAACTCTAAAAGAACGCGCTGTTCAGCACGAGCACGGGCGAGACGATGCAGTTGCTCCGGGGTGCGTCGACCAAATGTCTGCAAAATGCTCCACTTCGTGCACGGCCAAGCTACTACCATGAGGTCAGGGTCAAAGCGCGCGATGTACTGGCGCGCATCCTCACGATGGTCTTCGCGCAGAAGGTCGAAGGATGGGAGCGTAACTGGTTGCCCTGCCTCCCAGCCCGCGGCCACTGCCACCATCGAGATGGCCATCGTCCATGTGAAGACTTCCAGAACACGCCAGGGACCTGGCCGACGTCGTCGTGACTGTAGTCCAGGAGGCGGGACCATCTCAGGGGCCGTCGGCGCAGCGCGAGTAGCCGATGATGCCATCTCCCGAACCATGCGGGCTGCCTGGTTGACCTTCTGTCGCGTCTTCTTGCAGAGGTATTTGACATCGTGGTCGCGGTAGGGGTCGCAGTGTTCATCTTCTGTAGGCGGTTGCTCGTCTTCATTTTCCGACAACACCTGCTCCACGCCAAACTCGTGAGACGTTTCGCTCTCAGCGTCATCCTCAGCGGTCGAAGCTCAGTGTCATCGCTCCCAGCATCGTCGCAATCCGAGGCGGTACCAGCATCAGAAGCCCGATCACGAACACATTCCGGAACAACATGGACGCCAAGATCTTCTTGAAGTAGTTCCAGCCATTGCTGCTCCAATCTCGCCCTCCTTTCGGCCTTGCGCTCGCTATCCCATCGGGTCTCACAAGCACTTGCCTCCGACTCGGAGTTCACAACTGATGTAGCAGCATGACTCGAGCCTTCGCTGTCGGACTCATTTCCAGCTTGTCCGCCATCAGCCGCCAGAAAAGCCAGGCTCTGCGGGCTCTTTCGAAGCAACTCGGCTTTCTCAGCGACTGCAGGCTGTGACCAGGGATCATCCATGTCCATCGGATAGTCAGTGAGGTGTATCGCTGGGTGCCTAGTGCTCGTCAGATGCATCGGGCACTTCGTCTCGAACAAATCCATTGTACGGTTCCTGAAGTCAAACACAGCGCTCCACCTCGCAAGTTCCGACGGTCCAATCAACCCTGGACAGCCGATAGCGCCACCTTCCACCGCGGACATGCGAAGCACGTCCAAGTTGCCATTGATCCCCACCACATAGAGGAACGCGACGTGCGATGTCTCGGGCCCGCCCGAGCCGAACTGGAACACCTCATGCTCTTGGACCTCCTGCCAGGGTAGACCACGTCGACGAAGCTCATCTTGGAAGCGACGGTGCCATGCCATTCCAGCCACCGCAGTGCGACACCCTGAGTCCGCAACAACCTGACCTGGAGGCCCAGAAGCCGTATGGGGAGGATTCTCGGCTCCTTCTTGCTTCCCTCTTCCTTTTGCTGCCATCAGCACACCATGCCGAACGGAGAAGTAGAGGACATTCTTCAAGTCACATCGAGAGCATCGAGCAAAGTGTCCATGCTGGTTGGCTGTGAACAACAAGTCCTCGAAGAGGTGTGGGCACCTAGCTTGCTTCTCGGTGGGCACGGGGCTTGCTCTCGAAGGTCGACACTGAAAACCATTCCAGGACGAAGCATAGAGTTGCCTCCGAAAATCCTCCACCTCCCGCTGCTTTTGACTCTTGGCCTTGTCCTTCCCATCTTGTGTCTTCGAAGAAGGGGGTGCCAACGCTGAGGCTTCTGCTGAAGAAGCACCTGCACCGGAAAGCGACGGTGGCACAGGTAGCTGAGGATCGGCACGATCTGCATGGAAGGGCATTGGATAGCCATCATTGCTTGCTCGGGCTCGACCTGGATCAAAGGCTGCACGATGGCTCTCCAGGGCATTCCACGCAGACTCATCTTCCTCTCGCAACAGAGCGTACTTGATTTCCTTCTTCTCTGCTTTACTCAAAGTCGGCAAGGCCCCCAAGAGCTCGGTCGCCTTCAGACTGATCTCCTTCTCATTCTTGGAGCGACCATCTGCCACACGGGCCTTTGAAGCCCGAAAACGAACATCCTTCATGGGCCGTGGCGGCTGCGTTTCTGAGTCTGAGCTTACAGCGGCACCAGTCGAAACACCAGAGGATGTCACAAGATCCCAGGGATTCCTCTTGCCTCCATTCTTGTGACCGCACTCGTGACAATACTTGGCCGAGGGAGGGACGGCAGCTGAGCAACTAGGGCAGACGTCAGGAATGAGGCCTGCACCCTCCATGAAAGTGAAGTTAACGTAGTGCACCTCATTCTCCTTCGCTGTGGCATTGGCAGGGCGATGCAAGGGATCTTTCCCAGCCTTGACATGTGGGCACTGGGGATCTCCGCGCCAATGGCCACGCATTCCACACGAAGCGCAGGAGGACGACTTCTTTCTCTCAGCCAAGCTTTTGCCAGAGGAGCCCTCGCTGGGCCGAGACGACTTCCATCCCCTGGCCTTCTTGTGGGCAGCTGCCTTCTGCTTCGCCTTCCACCCCGCCTGGAAGGCTTCTTGGATCTCAACGACCGACACCGAGCCACCCTCGGAGAACTCATCGTCGAAGTCGGTGCCCTCGTCCTGCTCGTCTTCACCCCGGCAAGACGTAGCGTTCAGAATCTCCCCCTCAGCGGGAATATTGGGAACACCATGGTCCTCATTCTCAAGGTCCTCATAGTCGCCTTCCCAGTCTTCCTCTTCCACACTATGGAGCTCACCTGTCGCCACATGCACATGGCTCTTTCGCCCTTTTCCTCCGGACCTGGTCGAAGAAGACGAGCGCGTAGAGGTGGAAGCCTGCGACCGTGACAAACTCGAAGTCGTAGAAGACGCAGAACGGTGCCGAAAACCATCTGGCCGCCCTCCAGGAAGCTTGCGCTCCTCTTCATGCACCAACGAGCATCGGTGCCTGAGGGCATTCTCAATGGGGACTGCACTGTACTGTCCGCCAGCGCTGTAGAAGACATCCAGCCGCTCCCGCCTTGACAAAGATGCTCGGTTCAAGAGCCTCTGGGCCCAGGCCTTGTCAGAGATGGTGCTCTCCGGGTCAATCCTGGCGTACTGAGCACGAAGCCTCTTCATCGAAGCAATGTAAGCCGCCATACTCTGCCCCGGCAAGAGTCTGTAAGAAGAAAGCTCCTGCTCGGCCCTCTCAAACATTTCAGCTCCATTCTCACCATATGTCTCATCCAGCAGCTTCCACAGCATGACCAAACCGCCGGTGCACGTGTACTCTTCGATGGGCAGCTGGTCCAGCACGTCTCGGGCCTCCCCTCTTGTTGACAAGTAGAGAAGCATCGCAAGTTCAGAAGGGTCGAGTCGATAAAGTCGTTCTTGGGCTTGGACCGCACGCTTCCACTTGATGTACTTCCGGCGATCTCCACTGTACTCTTCCAGACGAACGCTGCCTATGGCACTCTTCGGCCGATCTCCTTCACGGGCGCGGCGTCGTAGCATGGATCTAATTTCACTTGTACCAGCCGACGACGACGGGGCCGGCGTAGCTTCACCAGCTTGAACAACTGGCTGTGGCCCAACTACAGGAATTCCAGGCAAGTGCGAAGCCCGTCCATGGGATCCATCTCTAGCTGGAAGTGTCTCCTCTGAAACACCACTGCCCGCAGGGGGAAGACCAGAACCATCTTGCCATTGAGCACCAGACACGCCGTACGGAACTTGACCTTGAGGAGCTACAGGAAACCCATAAAGTCCTGGGTGAGGAACACCGCCGGGAAGGACATAAAGCCCAGGATGTCCATGCTGAGGGAAACCGCCAGGAGGAACAGGAGGTCCGTGAGGTACTCCCGGAGAAACAAGAAGTCCAGGGTGTACTTGCTGTGGGAAACCGCCAGGAGGAACAGGAAGTCCGTGAGGCACTCCAGGAGGAACAAGAAGTCCAGGGTGTACTTGCTGTGGGAAACCGCCAGGAGGAACAGGAAGTCCGTGAGGCACTCCAGGAGGAACAAGAAGTCCAGGGTGTACTTGCTGTGGGAAACCGCCAGGAGGAACAGGAAGTCCGTGAGGCACTCCAGGAGGAACAAGAAGTCCAGGGTGTACTTGCTGTGGGAAACCGCCAGGAGGAACAGGAAGTCCGTGAGGCACTCCAGGAGGAACAAGAAGTCCAGGGTGTACTTGCTGTTGGAAACCACCAGGAGGAACTGAAGCTAAGGGCTGCCCTACGTCAGCGGCAGCCATTCCTGCAGCCTGCGCTGGGCCACTCGTCGGCCCCACAGGACTAGGCTCGGGAGCCCTAGCCCCATTCTCCACAACACCCAGCCCTGCCGAGCTGATGTCGCTCTCACTTCGTGAGGATGCTCCCCCACGTCGCCATGGGTCATCATCATCCCATGGGTCTGGCGCAGCCATGCGGTTCGGTTAGCAGCAGCGCACCTAGCCTAACCAAACCACCCTATGCCCCGCTACCAATATGAATCGGGTAAGCAACCCTATGCCAGCAGGCAAAGCAAAGCAAGGGAGTGGGCGCACTCCTTTCAGCGCACTAAGCGAAAACATCGATGCTTTGAGATCGGCGGCGAAACAGCTTGACTGACGCATGCCGTGATTGAATGCATGTCTGTTGCTGCACAAAGACATGCAGCTGATATGGAATGGACATGACTGCTGCACGTCACAGGGGTTTGGAGTTTAGGTGCTTTGGGCTTAGGGTTTAGGGGTTAGGGTTTAGGGTTTGGGGTTTGGGGTTTGGGTGCTTAGGGCTTAGGGTTTAGGTGCTGCTTCATGTTGCCTGCTAACCCGAAAGGCCCAAGCCCTGCACTGCATGGCCCCAAGCTCTCAGCCGGTCACAGGATTTCAGACAGCGAGAGTTTAGGGTTTAGGGTTTAGGGTTTAGGGTTTAGGGTTTAGGGTTTAGGGTTTAGGGTTTAGGGTTTAGGGTTTAGGGGGGGGGCGGGGAGTGTCAAAAGTCCCTCTTGCCTAGGAACTGAAACTAAGCAATCCGCGGAAGACATTGTTGACTACGTAGCCCAATTGTGCAATGTAAGTTTCTGAACAAGTGCCCAGCAGTTGGTAGCAAGAGACTCTCAGCCGCCCCCTTTATCACACACTAAGTAGCCCAGCAACCATATACCATAAGGGCACCTTTTTCCGGGTTGGTTGCTTTACCAGGGAAGAACCGAACACAGAAGGCACATGGGTACAGCTGACCCACCAAGAACAGGCCAAGGTGCAGCCAGGATAAGATCACCAGTGCCTGCGGCAACGGCTTGAAATCCCAGGGCTTCCAAGCTTCAAGTTCTTGGAGGCAGATAACAACACACAGAGGGCGATGCCCATGCCTGCGAGCGCCACTTGCCTTTATTCAAGACGAGGCCAAACCACCAAAACCTGGCGCACTTGCAGGGCTCGCATTCTCTGGGGACCACATGAACGTGGGGTCACATACCCCAACCCTGGCATGTAGGCTAAACGTCTTGTGGCTCGGGGGATATGGAATTCTGGTGGGGTCGCTTACCCCACAGAGTCGCAAGGAACGCCTCTTCGAAGCTAAACCTCTCCATGAGAACCCCTACTTCTGAGGGGGGCCTGGCTCCAAGCTCCCGGCACACTCCGGCTGTTGAGGGCGGCGCTAAAGGAACCCTGGAGCCTAAAACAACACGACGCCAACCCTACTTCTGAGGCCGGCGCGAACAGAAAACAACTTCAGTGCCACACTTCAAGCGTTGCAGACAGGTCCAAGGACTCCCGTCGAGTGAGTGCCCAGGGGACTAGAGCCCGTCACGACTGGCCATCTCAAAGCAGTGTCAAGCATGACTGGAACCCTAAACCCTAAACCCTAAACCCTAAACCATAAACCCCCATGCCCAAACGACTATCATGCATATTCAGGTATCTGAACTATAAACCCTTTTGGGTGTGCATGTGGTCCCCCAGGTTCTTCTTGAAGCTTGTCTGGAAACTGCCCCACGCGGGAACCCTAAACCTCAACAAGCCTGTTGAAGCCTAAAGGGCAGGGTTTAGGGTTTAGGGTTTAGGGTTTAGGGTTTAGGGTTTAGGGTTTAGGGTTTAGGGTTTAGGGTTTAGGGTTTAGGGTTTAGGGTTTAGGGTTTAGGGTTTAGGGTTTAGGGTTTAGGGTTTAGGGTTTAGGGTTTAGGGTTTAGGGTTTAGGGTTTAGGGTTTAGGGTTTAGGGTTTAGGGTTTAGGGTTTAGGGTTTAGGGTTTAGGGAACCCTAAACCCCACGGCCGCCGGGAAGCAAGGTGGCCACAACCGCGCCGCGGGCCATCGCTGCAGTTGGGGCGACGATTGGCAGCTCCGCCCACCTTCGCCACATCACAGATTCTTCGGGTTTGGGGTTTTCAGGAAAAAATTGTTGTAGGGCAATGGAGAGAAGTAAAGTAGTTAGACGAGGTTTAGCGTTTGGAGTTTTAGGGTGTGGGGTTGAGGTAATAGGGTTGCAGGACATAGAGAGGAATAAAGTAGCAACACGGGGTTTGGGTTTGGAGTCTTTAGGGTTGGGGTTTAGGCTTCTAGGCTGCTTAAAGGGTTATATGGCTTCAGGGCGTGGTAGGTGCTACCTGTCCCCTACATATCTTAAGAATTCGTAGGCCATGGCAACCAGATATGGCGTGATGCTAGGTAGAGGAAAAATCTAGTTCACTAGAGCTACGATCTTGATAGTTCGAATGGGGGATTTAGAGAACCACGTACCTTATCGAGTACCGAACTCCCCAATTTTTCTTACTCAGAACCAGGAGGTATGCTTCTCATCCTTGCTGTAAGGAGACGATTTCCGTATTTGAGCCCAACTTATGGTTGATGTTCAATTTCGGCTGTTCTGTATCCTCGGCCCGTTCTTGCCAGGGGTCTAAGCCAATAGGGCTTGGAACAGAAACACATGTAGGGCCACGGATCGGAAACGCCAATCAACTCTGCCAAGTGGCACCTCCTGTATCACATAGTCTAGCTCTTGAACACCTTAAGCCCTAAACCCTAAACCCTAAACCCTAAACCCTAAATCCTAGGCCTAAGGCCTAAGGCCTAAGGCCTAAGGCCTGAGGCCTAAGGCCTAAGGCCTAAGGCCTAAGGCCTAAGGCCTAAGGCCTAAGGCCTAAGGCCTAAGGCCTAAGGCCTAAGGCCTAAGGCCTAAGGCCTAAGGCCTAAGGCCTAAGGCCTAAGGCCCTGGACCCTAGACCCGAGACCCCTAAAGCCTAAATTTTGAAATCATAGAGCCCCACTCCTGGGTTTAGGGTTTAGGGTTTAGGGTTTAGGGTTTAGGGTTTAGGGTTTAGGGTTTAGGGTTTAGGGTTTAGGGTTTAGGCTTTAGGGGTTTAGGGTCAACCCTAAGCGCTAAACCTTGAACTCTTGACTCGAAGTCCAAGAGAGCTGCCCTAAACCCTCCCCAAACTCACCTAAGAACAGACCAGGATCGGAAATGACCCTACACTCCGTTCTTGTCAAGGACATTATATTGAGTTACCGTAATGGATGATATATAGCAAAGAATATCAGAATATCAGAATATCAGAATATCATATCCTGATTTTGTGTCAACTTGATTTCAATTCGGAGAACAAGTTTCGAAGTGCTCTCTAAACCCCAAACCCCACCCCCCCCCCTGTTTTTTTTGGGAGACTGGAGGCTGGAGGATGCCAAAAAGCCCGCAAAACAGTGCGGCGGAGGCGCGCGTGCGTGACCAGACAGCGGAAGAACGCACCGCCGCTCATCAGGGATGCGCCAAGCATCGCCTTCCGAGGCTGGTTTGGGGGGCAGCGGGGCGGAGCGGGGGGGGGGGGGGGGGGGGGGGGGGGGGGGGGGGGGGGGGGGGGGGGGGGGGTGTGGGTTTGGGGTTAGGGTTTAGGGGTACCCCTAAACCCGTAGCCCTTCACCCTGATCTCCCCCTTCCCCCTACTGGGCTCCCGTATGAAGAGGGTTTAGGGTGTGGGGTTTCGGGTTTCGGGTTTCGGGTTTAGGGTTCAGGGTTTAGGGTTACCCAGGAGCTAGAGCAATTGCAAAGCCAGTTTGCCTCCTCTCAGCATGCTGTACGTTTTGGTCTGCTTACCAGGAGTTTCCAAGTACCTCCTAGTCTTGAGGTCATACAGGGCTTAGAGAGATTTTCGCGTTTCGAGTCTTACGCTTTAGGCCTTTAAATGGCTGTAGGGTGGACAAAAACTAGACCCGGGAGTAACCTAGGAAAAAGAAGGGTGCCCTTTTTGGTTAAGGGGACTATAAGGGAACCCCAACCCCAAAAAAAGGAAAAAAGGGCCTACTCCCAAACACCCTCTACGACAAAAGGAAATCGGTTGATAAGCCGCGGCACGGGAAGGAAGCGATTCAGGGGAAAGCGTGCATAACCAGCAGCCACGATTCCTGTGGCTGTGTTGTTGACAAGTTGATTCTCTAGAATGCTCGGTGGCCTAAATCCCAAAACCCTCAACCCTAAACCCTTTTGGAGGTGCTCGTTAGGGCGGTCAACTACGCAGCTACTTGTCGCTGGCTTTTGAGTCAAGGCGCCTGCGGATTCGCAGGTTGTTGCAGTCCTATTGGACTAGAAAAGTTCAAGGAGATACGACCTCGGCTACCGTTTAGCGGGTCTAACTAGGGTGAGTTTCACAACCCGAAACCCTAAACACTGAACCCTAAAGGTATAAAACAACCCAAAAAACGGTGCCTTCTTCGATTTTGGGTTCAGACGGGAGCCTAGCCCGAAGGGAAGAAAGGTACCGGCAGACTTGGCATTGGCTGGCGGTCAGGAAGTTACGACTTCAAACCACGGGCTGGTGCTGGTTGGCATGCCCATGAAATTCTCACGATATTCAGGTGACCATGTAGGCCTACCTCTGGAGTAGACCCAGAAAAAAAAGTATATACTTTTGAGGTATAAGTAGCTATCATGGGAACCCAAAACCCAAAAGCAGTATTAAAGTATAGTACTCCAAAGCCCAGTAGGTGGGGGAAGAGGGGCCAGACATGAAGGGTGAACCACACCCCTGACACGTAAAGCGTAAACCCTCAAGAAGTGTTTTCATCAGGCGCAGGTTTGCCATGTAAACGGCGTCCCTGGAATCAACACCAGCTTCTTAGAACAGCTGCTTGACCTTGGGGATATTTTGAAGGAACTGATCAGTACCTACGCGACCACCAAGAGAGGGTTCATGCCCACGGATAGAGTGTCCGGGGCTGAGGGATGTACCTATGGCGGCC